CAGCTCTCCTGGGCCCCTCTTCCTTCTAGAGCCCTAGCCCATGGGATCTTTCCCAGCAGAGAAGCTGGGAGAGCTGTTGAATTGAAGATCCAGAGAAAAGGTGCATATCTTCCAGCAAACACCAGGTGTTTATCATATTTTCCTCATTTTGGATCATCCCATATTCTCCATCTGCTCTTCATGTAGCCTCTTCATGCTGTAACTCTACTGCATGCCCGTTTCTTCATATAGTAAAACACCTTTTCTGTGAGTCCTCACCTTGTATCATTTCATACACATGCCATACCATATACTGCTCTCTCTTTAAACTTTGTATGAGGATGATATGAAGTTCTTTCTAAATATTTTTCAGTATGCAAAAGATATGCCCAAGTATAAGTTCTGGGTTAACCCAGACTCTCTTGAAATCCTGTGTAGCCTAATAATGCAGAAACTTTTCTGTCTGAGGTGTACAAACACCAGAGCAAATGTATCTAAAATGCATTTATATGAACTGTGACAGCTTTCACAAATGGCATATAACCACAGCATATTAAGTCCAATGCAGTAATTCTATTATGCTATCCCAGTAACTTTGATGAGCTTCACACAGGAGAAAAAACAATGAAACATGCTCAAATGCATGAGAATATTTTATGTTCAATATATATTTCAGGAGGTGATCAATTAAAGAGGGATATACACAGCTAAATTTTTTATGGCTGCAATATTTTTTTCCCTTCTCAATTGCAAGGCTGTCTATTTACATGCCAAATCAAATCTTCAGTTCATTGAAAAGTGTAATCAGATTTTTGCTTGCCCCAGGCAGGGAAGATTTTTAAGAAAAAACAACATACAAACAAAGGCAACTGTTCATTTAATAGGAGGCAGACAAATTTTTAAGGCAACATATTTTAATGCGCTTTGGCATCCGTTTAAAATTTCTTCTTCAGCATAATTTCTTTTCATTAAAACAGAATTCTTGCCTGCCTGTAAGGAGCAGTAAAGAATGGCTATATGTGCTGCACAGTGCAGAACTGATGTGTAATTCATGCTTTAAAGTTTACTTACTATAATAGAAATTAAAATTGGTATTCGTATAACCCACCAGGGACCACTGTGCTCGTTTGTATCCCAGCAACTATAAAAAGCAAAAGAGAAAATGATGTTAACATTAATTTCAACTAGCAAGAAAAACCTTAGATATATTGTGATATACAAATCAAAGCATACTAATATAATGCCTGTTTCTTTTCCCACTTCTAATTTTTACTTCCATGTTTTTAATATGCATATTCAAATCAGTTAAAACATTGGGGACACCAGAATAGCACTAGAAATAATGAGGGCCGCTGCCCTTAGGGGCTCAAAGTTTAGTTTCACTTTCTGTTGAGGAACTTCTCCAAAAAGCACTCAACAAGAGCCTCTGGATAGCAGAAGATCTAAAGGAACTGACAGATACAATTAAAACGACATAATTTCCTTGTGGGGTATTCAAGTTATGGATGGCTGGGACTTGCTTAGGAAAATATGAGACTCAAGCTGAAACTTTGTCTGAAGAATATGAAATTTAATTTTCACCGTGGGCTAAGTAACTGTAGCCTGAATACTCTGAGAAGAAATGTTCTGAATGATTAATCTTAAACAAGAACAATATGCTCCAGACTTCTAATTGTTTAATAATGGTGAAGCGGTAAGGAATTGTGTGTATGTTAGAGAACTTGCAAAGAAAATCTAGAAATATGCAGCTTTTTCAATTTAAAAGCAGAACCAAATAACTGAAAAATTTAGTTAGACACCAAAAAAAAACCCAAGTCAAAACTGTTTGTTCCACTAGTTCTTCTGTCCCATTCCATCCCATTCCTCAGTGCCAGCAGTAGTAGCAAGTCTGACCTTTGAGCAAGGTCAGACTTCAGCAAAGTTCTTATCTGCGCTCCCCCTCTCATGCCAGGAATGATCAGACCTTGCTCTCTTCAGTCATGCTTTTACCTGAATCTGCACAGCTTAGATATCACATTGCTTCGCTTAGGTGAATGTAGGATATCCAAAGATTTCTAGATTTCAATCCCATTGCCTTTTTGCAAATTAGGAAGCCAGTGGTCTACATGAGGATCTCAAAGGGGAGATCCTAGCCAGCACATCTCTCTGCCACCTCCTCCTTTTAAAAGTTCCAAATAAGTAGCATGCATAAACTTCATGTTGAAGAGATTTTCAACATCTTCCATTGAGTGCCACATCTGTGGAATTTCAGCTTTCCAATATTTATATCCTGCAGAACAGCAAACTACCCTTCTGTGAACAGCACCATATCCTTGCCTTTTAAGCAAGGCAGGGCTTGTACTGGTTGGGGACTTCAGGCTTTCCCTTGCCCACTACTTACCCGGTATCCTCTAATAGGATCCGTGTTACTGTCCATGTAATAATGAATATGGTAGGAATTCCTATAAAAACAAAGAGGTTTAGAGACAGATTATAAGTAGGTTCAGTCTGTTTGTAGCCACTATTTCCCAAATATACAGAATATAATAAAGGATTTAATGGAGAGGCCCTGCTGATTAACCATTCAATGCTATCAGTTTTGCTAACAACTACTGCAGGAAAGTGCATTCATTTCTTATAAAAATGCAGGTGTAATCACTAACAGACAAAGAAGGTGCCTTTCTTGGTTTCTTTCTTATGTTTCTTCCAAGTGACCTATAAAGAAATACTATATCCACACCAATTCCCAATTTAATTGCTAAGACTACAATATAAAATTGAAGGGTAAATCATTTCATAAGAAAAAGTCACACACATTGGTTTCTTCCCAGCAACACCTAAATGTTTTATGACCATTAATTCCTGGAAGCTTTCAACTGCTCCATATATATGCCACTGCACTGTCTGTAGATGAAAGGAATATATATATTTAAAAACATATGGAAAATATTTAATGAGCTTTTCAGCAAAGGCACATGGCAAAGCATTGCCTGTGCCCATACACAGGCAAAGAACTTTCTTTCACCTCCCAAATTCAATCAATCTGAATGATACAAATCATGCTATGGGGTGGCAGTCCCTGGATCATCGTGTCCCCTGAGCCACCTGTAGGCAATGTCAAGCAGTGCAAACTGGCATAGATGAGAGCCGTGCTAAAGAGCATGAGAACAGGTAGGTGATCATGGGCCCTGACTGGCTACAGGCTTAGCAGTAACTTGGGGGGACCAGAATAGAAACTGCGTCATTGCCCCATTTGAAATACTGGCCCTAAACTAATACACAGGCAAAGAAGAGAGACCATTATTGGAAGTTACTTAAGTTCTTACCCCATCCAATCAGCAGGTAGACTGTGAAATGTCTGTTGGGGGAGAATATTAACACAAGGAGGATGTGGAGGTAAAGTCCTTCAACTAAGAGCCAGTAAAAGTTTGCCATAACACCATACTGAAAAAATACCAAAATAGCCTTGCAGCCCACCTGAAATGTGAGAACAGGGGTAAAACTTGCTGCACAAAAGATGCAGTATTATTTTGTTAGTAATATTTCCTATAAGTTTTAATTTTCCACATAATGTTTGTAACCCAGGTCAAGCAGAAAAAAATTTCTTCATTTAACCATAAAGGCAAATTGATATATTTGAAAGAATATGGTATGTAAAAAAACCTTATTATTTGAAGTTTTAGATGGCTTATAGTAAATTCACTTAGAAACTTCAAAAACATAATAGCATAAATATTCTAAAAGGTCATGGCTATCAATAAATGTACACACTTGCAACAACTGATTAATGAGTGGTTATCAGATTAAATCATTAGCTGTTAAATGGCTAATACATAAAAATCTAACTATAAATTTTTCAAAACTGTACTCGAACTACAGAACATAGTAAAAATTAATGAAACTGCTCTATGAATTTTTAAAGGCTAGAAAGGAAACAATGAAAAATCCAACTTTGTATCATAAATATCTCAAGCAAAAAGACAAAGTTAAGAGGACTTCTAAAGATGATGTTTTCCCTTTATAGAATGCTCTAGTGTTTCTTAATAAGACACAAAAACATATGATAAACTGTAGTTCCAACATAGTCTGTAGGCTGTTCTGCAGAACAAATTTTCAGACGTCTGTGCTGCTGATCTTCCACAGTGTTGCCTTTGATACTTCCCAGCAGGAGTTCGGGAGGTAAGAACTGAACATTAAAATGCTTCTGCTGAGACTGCACTGAGATATATGATGATACGGCAAGTGCAGCCTAGTGAATTAAATATAAACCAGTGATTTCTCCTACTTTTGGCTTGCTCTACGCTCTCTGTTCTAAAACACCTTGCACCTCTTCTGCTTCTATTAAAAACCCACTTATGTCAAATGCCTAGCTAGATATCTTATTCATTCAGTGATTGATTCCTTTGTCTAAACATAAATGTCTACTACCATGTCAGATACTCTAAGGTACCCCTGACTCCAGTTGCCTGTGCAGAAGGTGATGGTCTCCCAGTCAGCCCCTTGTGAGTATCTTGGATATCTCAGGGCATCCCAAGTAGCACTACATGTGTACATTCAGGTAAGTAAATAAGATCCTAAGTCTTGAATTCATTTCACCTAGTTTTAGTTCCCTAAAAGCGAGGTTTGTGGCCTAAGATAGCCACCTACTAGCTAGCTGCTTCTACAGCTTGAGAGGAAAGACCTCCGTGTCCAGAGAGAGTCTTAAAATAGATGAGCTCTCTGGAAAGGACTATTTCTCTCCCAGTGAGACAGACAGAAGCCCAGAGAAGCAGCTGAATTCAGTCATCCTGCTCAGTGACTAATCTCACCACAGGACTTCGAAGGATTCTGGCCTATTGTAGAAGTGGCAACAGGCCAGAAACTATAACAGGGGAAAAATATATGGTTCAAAATAACAATGAAAGTTTGTCTTGATCAAGATCAAGACTTTATGCCTAAAATTTTTGTATTCCTCTTCAGTTCCAATACACATTTACCACATATACTCCTCCACAGTACTGTCTTGACTTACAAACCTGCACCGAATCATTTAGGTTCTCTGTTAGGCCTGCATCAGGTCTATTTCCATATGCTGAATAGTGAAGGCATCATGTCATTAAAGCCAAAATTATGGATCCGTGTCATTCAGATCCAGGTCATAGTAACATTCAGTTTTAAATTGGGTGCTTTTAAGTCTTCGTGCCTGCAACAGAGCTGTGAAGGAGCCATATGGGCTGAAGGGGCAAAGCCTCCCTGCTGCTGGGTGCCAGAGCTGGGACCCAGGCAGTGCACAACAAAACAGCTTCACCAAAGTCATCCCACAAGTGAAGCATCAGAAATCAGTCAACAAGCCAAACTTCAACACATCCAAATAGGGCAGTACAAGAATGTTGCCAAGAATAACTGGAGAATAAAAGAAATCCCATCCCCCGCCCTCAAAAAAATCTATTTTGAGAGTCCATGGACTAATCTTTCAAAAGCCTAAGAACTTTTGACTGCTCCCTCAGTCCACATGTTTGCTTTGCTCCTACAGGAGAAGTCATTACATCCTCTACAGAATTCTCTACTCTGACAGCTTGGTACTCCTAAATATTCCAAAGGATCGGGGAGGAAAATGTGTGAGGCAACAGTATTACACCAGGTAGCAAAAGAGGTTTATTACCCATGAGGTTTGATCCTCTGGACAGTGAGCTGTGTTGGAGCTGGAATAGAGAATATCATCCTTGACTAAAACAGAGATTGCTCTTAGAATGAAAGAGAGGAACAGGTTCAGATGGATGTAGTTCCGAGTACAATGGAGTTTTCTAAGAAGAGATTTAAAAATAGGCATTTTAGATTTCAAGATAGAAAGCCTCTTGAACAGACTTTTATTACTCTCTGCTTCTTAGTGATATCAACCTTGACTTAGCACCTACACTCTTCTCCTCTGTATATTGTCACTGCTGCCATGCTGTTCTCTTCTATTACTATTTTCTGTCAAAAAATACAAATAAAGCATCTGACTTCAGTATAACAGACCAAAAGATCCCAACAGCATTGAGCTCACACTTCACTGCAATCTTTTTCTTGCAGATAAAATCTTGATTGACTTGTGTTTCAGACATGCTTTCCCTTATTATTTTCTTGTTTAATTCCTAATTTAATTCCTTTAATTCCTGCATCTTTTCTATATAATGGCTTTTCATCCTATGATGTGTATATATGTGAGAATAATTGAAAAATCCTTGCAAAACATTAGATTGTTGATCTTTTCTGTCCAGTGAGATATAAAAATTCTCTTCCTTTGTCTATTAGCCTTGTGAAAGCCTGATGAACAAATGAGGAACTTACTATTCCAAGTGAATGAGTGCTAAGGAGAAGTGATTTAGCACTTGAAGGATAACATTACTGCCAACTACTTAATTGAGCAAAGTATAAACCCAATTTTCCAAATATCTGTATCCATTTTTCCAGTTTTCCAAACATCAGACAACTGTTAACAATGTTTATCATTGTTCTTATTTACTCATGAAAAATACCCACCTGAAAAGACAAAGAATTATACTTCCTGTTGTAAGAGCAATCAGAGATACACTGTGTCCAAGGGTATAAATTGCTTTCACCCTTACATAGAAGTTGACCTGCACAGAAAAAAATATAGATGGAGAAACCATTTACTGCTATGTAAAAATGACTATAAAATGAATGACTATAAAATGATATCATTTTTCACTAAATATGTAGACTAAAAGCCATACATCACATTATTTTCAGCCCTTTGGCTATACAACATGAGAAGAAAGTATAATATTTTTACTCCAGCGTATTTTTTGCATTGCAACATCTCAAGCCAATTTACCTTAGTCAAAAATTCCACCTCTGAACCTCAAAACTTGAGCACATAAGCTGATACAATTTCAGCTGATTATTCTATGTCAATAAGGTCAAAGAAAGTGTGAGATTCATAAACTTCCATAAATACTAACAAACTGTGGAGAATGAGCCACTGTTTTAAAGAATTATCTCTGAGTCCTGAGTAATGCATTTATGTATCCGTTTAAGTCTAAAGACATGTTTAGGTCCCTTTAATTTCCTATTCCACATTATGAAATTTTGACCCAAACAACCTCTTATATCTTCAGTAAACATATTTGTTAAAGCTTGCAAAGTCATCTTTTCCATAAAGAAAAAGCAGGCTAAAGAACACAGTCTGTTCATTAACTGTAGTTATCTTTAAATTTACCAGTCACATATTATGACATTAAATCATATTCAGAATGAGAATATCAAGAAAAATTATGCTAAATTATGTCAGAACTAAGCTGCTTCTTGACTTATGCTTACAATGAAGTCATTAGACTGCAATTACTTTCATGGAAGCTAGATAAAATATTAAAGCTGTAGACTTATTTACTATTTGATGGAATTAATGGATAAGTTTTTAAGCACAGTGCAGAATGTGCTCTTTTATACAGACAGAATTTCAAGGTTTTTATCAGGTGTTATTTCTGTTTCCTGCTATCCAATTTATGCATTTATTTATTCACCCCTTCCACCTCTCTCTACCTGACACACTTCGACTTGCCCTTCAATTCCTTGACAGGGTGGTAGACTTACACTCCCCAATTCTGTCCATTTTTGGACGTTTGTGAAAGCAAAGCCTAGAGACAAGCATTTCAGAGCATCCTTATGCTTCTTTAACCTGCTTTTGTCATAGCAAAAGAAATCCCAGCCAGTCCCTGGGCAGTTTTCTGGGAAATGAGTGATAAAGCATTTCTCAGCATCAATTACAACAGTCTATAATGGGTTTCTTCATGACACCAGGGATGCTGCACGTATATTGGACATCTCCATTCAGCCTGACCTCCTCTCCAAAATCATGGAAGAAGGTATTGCTTCATACTTAATGGCTTAGCACTTTGGCAGCCTCACATACCTATTTATATGTTGAAAGAAAGGGAATTTTATTTCCTGACATTTGGAGTTTCAAATAAAACACTTCCTGCAAAACTTTTGAGTAATCCACAGCAGTTCTACAATAGGTTTATTAGTTGTCATCTTGTAATTTGCAGGCCACATTAAAGACACTTCTACCAAATGCATGAAAAGAAATTTGAAGGGTCTCTAAATCAAAAATTCTTAATACTCACCATGTAAATATTGTATTTGAAGGAAATTAAGATTGCAAAATTATTGTTGCAAGATAAGCTGCAACAATAGACCTGCTTGGTTTAAATACTATGTGGAAGTTTTCTTTTCACTTTCACAGAAAAATGTAATTAGAGGTGTCCTATAGTGGTTTCTATACGTAAACCTAAACACTAAAGCCACACACAAAACACCTGGTAAGAGTCAACATAGGGACAACTTACACCAACCTCATTTTCTTGTCCTGGGAATTACCAAATCCTGGCTTAACAAATCCTGACATGGATACAGAAAGCCCTGGCCTCCTGTTATCTGCATTTGTAAATAGCCCTTGTAGGCAAACCAGGAGCTCTGATGTAAACTGTGCTCTGATCTTTCACAGTTCCCAGCAGAACTGACGTCCTTGCTCCCAAGAATAGTCTAAGATTGGAATCCGTTCAGGTTTCTCATTACAATAATAAAAACTTAAAGCAGCTGCACAGTCTGTTTCTGCTACTGAGTGGTCAACATGTGATATGAATTAGTTATAAGAGATACTCCAAAGAAAGAGTCTTAGATGCTTGAGTTATCTCTGCTTAAGCAGAAATAACTCCAACGCAGCAAGCAAATACAAATTCATGCATCAGATATTAACAGATAACTAAACTGATCAAAATACACTTTTCTGTAACATATACAGTCTCTAAATCCCAGACTTAAGACTACCTCCTGTCATCCACCCATTAGATTTCCTCATTTCACTTCCTCACTTCTCTCAAAACAATCTTGTGTTCACTATTTCTCTGTTGGCATTTGCCATGAACCTCCTTTTTGGTAGATCTTATAAAGAACTCTGCACACAGATAATACACAGTAAGTATTAGCAAGCTGGCACTCTAGAAACATCATTATTCTGATGGGGGGGATGCATAAAAAAAAGAATTCATAAAATAAGCTTGCTTAGAATAAAGTTGTAATTAGAATTCTAAGGATATTATAAGAATTATTAGAATAAATTTTTAAAACTGATTTTGTTTATGTAGTTCTGTTGCTAGTAACTACCTATCCCATGTTTTCAAGAGGAATTAGAGCCCAGCAACTATAAGAAGTACTTTAAACTTGAACATTTTCTTTCAACAGAAAGAAGCTATTCTTAAAAATGTTTGACATTTTTGAGAACTCATTACTCAAGTACTTGGCTTCTACCTGATACTGAATATAGCATTAATTCCTCAAAAGTGAGTCATAACATCCTTTATTATTAATTCACACAACTGGTTTCCGTATTCACTGCTTAGAGTAGATTTCAAAAACTTTGTTGTGCATGTGAAAAAAAATCTTATGATTCTGAATGACTTATGCAGGTTTTACAGCGTATACAAACCTACTGCACATATTATTAACACATTTAATGATACGATTAAATTCAGGTAAGCTCTGTCAGCTCCATGTTGAAAACATTTTATGTTTTAATGTTTTAAATCACAGTCAGTCAAAAGCATGCATTTTATTGATCAGTAGAAGGTACTTCATTCATACTCATCTTCTCCATTCTAATACTTAAAAGAAACTCAAATATAGTTTAACCATATTCTAGTTAAAAATAGCTAAGCAATAACAGACACAGCATTAAAATGTCTTTTTTTTTTTTTTTTGGTGGCCAAACTAATGAAAGTGCAGCTACAAATTGAATGCACTGAAGTGAACATGCTGGGTCAAATACTAGTGGATTTCAGACCTGTACATGGAATGAGAGGAGCTTTTCTTGCAATCATGGATGATAATTTGTTAGCACAAAGTTCTATTCTCATCCCACAAGGATCCACCTGTAACATGTAGCATTATCATCCAGTTAACCCAATCTTTTCAACTGCCAAAGCAACATCCCTATTAGCTCCCTCCCTTCTGGAGCCAGAGATAGACTGATAAGTATGTGAATAAAAATGACTGGAAAGTGGATTGTGCTAGTATGGACAAGACTGAAAGCCCCAGGAATCTGTCCTTGTACCTATTCTGATGCTCTGAATACAGACAAGTCAGTTCCCATGAGATAAGAAAACCTGTCATGTATGATGAAATGCTTCACCTTTGGCTTCTATTCTGGATGGATAAGAAAAATCTGTTGCCTTCTGATCACTTTTTCTGATGTTCATTATTTCTGAAACAATACTGCCTGTATTACCATTTAATTCTTGTCTACGCACTGTATTTCCTAGAAGGTTAACAGTTCTTTGAAAGGTCTGGTATACCAGATCCAGAGAGAGACTGTATATTCTTAAATTTTTTGTCTTGACTTCGAGGTATTTGTTTAGGAAACATGTAAATTGACTGGTGCCAAGTATATTATATTTATACCCATGTTTAGTCTGCATTGTCTTTGTTCACTTTTTCCATATTTGCCCATCTACTTCTCAGAGTGATTGCACTAATCCTACATTATTTTCCTCCCATTATGCCTGTCCTAGACACAGCATCTATTAAGCTTTCATAAATTTAAAACACAGAAGCAGTAGATTTACAGCCTCTAATGAGCTATGGCCTCTATAGCCTTCAGGTGCTACAAGCTATGAAGTTTACAGGAATGATTCTACACTAGAAGTATTAGAAAACTGCAGCCAGATCAATGCATCAAAGAGAAACCTTGACCCTGATTATACATCCTGCTTTACTTTGTGTCAAGAACAATTTGAACTCAGAATGTCTCTTACTTTCTCCCTTTTCTTGGAATTTGGTGGGATTCCACAGCACTGAGTAAAAACACTGTGAAATGTATCTGCTTTATGTAATTAAATTGAGCATTTTTTTTTTCCATTTTGGAGGAAAAGGTTTTTGGATATGTCTACGAAGTTCATTTCAGGATAAACAATTTCACCTTCTTGTAAATGTTTTCAATGCCAAGGAATGTAAAGTTCCCATTTACTTCCTCCAAATAAATTAGAATAAAGTGCAGGACAACGCAGTAAAGCAGGAGATGCTGTAAAAGCCACTGAATTTTGTAGGTGTGGGTTCATCTGGGCCAGCTATCTAGAGCACCTTTATAACCAATGAAGAACAGTAGACAAAGGGTGATTCACGTCATCCTAAGTGACTCATATCATCGTAAGATATCCATCTAAAATTACTTACAATTATAATGTGCTTTCTTAATTTAACACAAAGTAGATGATATGTAGTTACTTTAGACAATAAAAATCTCCACCAAGTGCCTCTCTGCTCGTTTGGTCAGTTTTCCATTATGCAGTAAGAATGATATACAACTTTTTTATTTTTAATATTTTTTTCCTTTATGCTCTTTTTCATTGTGTTTTAAAGGCCATCATTTTAAGGCTGCTTTTTTTGTTTGTTTGGAATTTTCTAACTGAGGTCCAACTCTCATGGGATTTGATATATCTTAAGTCTGTTTCCTTAGTAATAACACACACACACAAAAACCCAACAAACACATTCTTTTCAAATCTTTCAAATAACTACTAATGACCAGTCAAAACAAATGAGGTAGGACTCATTTTGCTTT